AGTCCCGATCCACTGCAGTCACTGGTGGAGAAGCGAGTGCTGGTAGGAGGGGTCGCCCACCTCAGGTACTGCCGACCTCTGCAAGTCAAGAGAAAAAGACTGTCTGTATGCATGTTTCTGTATGTATGGGTCAATGGATTGATTGAAATCAGTAAGGTATGTTTATACCTGCATGTTAGTTCCAGGTCGTCAGATTTGTTCATCCTGTGGGTGCCATAGATGTTCAGCGTTGGTGGGTCGGGCATAAACCTCAGTTCAATGGCTGGAGAATTAAACAACAAGTTAATCACAGCAAAGACTGAGAACAAACACAGTGATGACATCCGTCTGTACAGGCTTTACAAAGAATGCAACATAAAGTATCAAAGGTCACTGTTATTCCCTTGAAGTAATTATGATGTCACAATTAGGAAAATAAAGTATGGAAATGTATTCAATTATGAAGCACATGGCATAAACTTATAGTAAAATACAGGGTTGGGTAACTGCTTTGTAACAGGCTCTTTGGCTACTCGGGGCCATTTTTCCACTGCTGCAGAAAATGGCGGAGCTGTGTCAAAACAGGAAGCAGGGGAAGATGGGCCGGGTCAGGCTGAATAGCCCGGCACAGTGTGGCCTAGGTGGAGTTCCTGTTTCTGAGGATACAGCCTGCCCACCACCTCCCTGTGAGGCCCTAAGGCTCACATTGTATTGTATGGAAAAAAACAAGGCTGACCAAATCGGCATTATGGAAGCTTGCCATTATTTAACTGGATGAGTTAAATTAACACAATTTTTTTATTCTAGCAAATTCAAACTAGGATTATGATGGGTCGGTTATTTCCTTTTTGTCAATAATATATCAAATGTTCACATTTCCATCCTTTTTTCAACAAATCTCAGAACAGAAATTAGCTGACACACACTGCAATACTCATCTCATTGTCACAGTTAAGCACTACATAAAGTTGCCAGAGAAATACAAAATGATCTAGTAGAATATAATATTGCCTCTATTAGAAAACTTATTTAGTTTGTTATTTACAAAAAAGGTAAAGATAGAACACTTGTAATATATTCGCTTACCAGCAACAAAACTGATTTTCAGGATGATGCCAAACAGTGGAATGACTCCCCGAGCCATCATCCGACAGAAAACATGGACAGAGTCCTCATGAACAGCAAGTAATACAAAAAAAGGTTCCCAGCAATAATGACAATCCTACACGGTCAGCGCTAATCCATTGAATTCTTCTGTTTTATATTCCAATACGGAGAAGGTTTGTGCCGACACAAAGTCATGAAAACAAGCAGCAGGAGCTCAGAGGTGATCAGCAGTGTGTGAAGTGTGGCTGTGTGTCCCAATGGAGCTGAAACTGCTGCTGAGGATGGAGAGACGTTCAGCTGAGCAGCCTGCAGGGGAGGAGCGTCTCTCCCTGACTAAAAACTAACACATGGGACCGAAAGTGGAACTGTTGCTGTTTGTTGTCAATCTCACTTTTAAAGAGATGTAAAGATTCTTGAGGATTTACAATCTCTAACTAAAGAAGTCATATCCAGGCAAAGTAGACTTCATTTGAAGGGGGTAATTAACAGTGGTGGAAGAAATACTCAGATTTTAATTTAGGTCTATATATCTGCAGAATGATAACAATAGTCCTGCATTAGCAGTTTACTGTAACTTGAGTAAAAAAAAAGGAGTCTAACGAAAAGTAAAAATGTCTATGCGTACTTTATAATAATATATTATTTATTTTGGTCATAATTGTTTATGCATAAATGTTTTCATTCGCAGTTGGACATAATCTTAATTACTTCTTATGCTGCTGTGGGTAATTGATTATATATTGTATTAATAACTAACTAAATATTTCAAATAGAAAAAGGTGGAGTAAAAATCACTTTATGTTACTCTGGAAGGTAGTTCTTGAGTAACATTAAATAGTAAAATAGTCACAGGAACTATAAGTACCTTTAATCTCTACTTAAGTGCAATAGCTGAGAAAATGCTGCTTTCAACCATAGGTCGTTTTTTTAATACTCATTTGGTAATTAAAGTATTTATAGTATATTTATTCAAAACCTTGGTCTCTGACAGTTTAGAACCTGTTTGCTGCAAAACTGCAACATTTGAATATTATGTATTATAAATGGGTTAATTTAAACCTCTCACAACTTGCTTATTCACACCTCCAGGTGTAATGCTGCAACATTACAATTAATTCAGAGTCATGTTTGTGTCCACCTGGGGAATAGAGGTCCTATCATCACTCTTTTATCTGTGATTTTATTCCTCCACCAACTTCTGAGGGAATATCTGGTTCAGCTGCTAAATGCTCCTAATTGTGTCTGTCAAGTCATTTTAATATTTTTCTATTTAAATGTTGTTTCCATACTGGTTTACAAATAAAAAATAGCACAACTCTGTGTGACAAAAGACTACAACAATGCCATATGCCCGTTCTAAGATGTCTTTTAAGGCTTAGAATTTAGACCCAAGTTATCACTAACTATCATTTCACCCGAGTTGTGTTTTGGGGATATTGGCATGGATTCAGCAGGGTGTAGTGTTTATATGTTATGTTCTACATCCACATGTTTCCTGGCCTGGTCTCTTCTACAGGGACTCTCTGCAGTCTATACGCCCAGCCTCCTCCAAACCAACATTTCCTGAAGGACACTCCACCCCAACTGCACCTCTGAAAAAGTTAGAAACAGAATTTATTTTTTCCATTTTTCCCTTTGCTTTTGTCTTTTGTTTTCTCACATTTTACATGAAGGGAATACTTTGAACTCTGCACAATAATAGATAAACATATAAATGATATACATTTTACATACCTCTTAATGCAAGTGATATCTGCATAATATCTCCAAAAGACTCAATACTCCCCGTAATACAGGAATGTGTCTTTTTAGCCCGAAAAAACAAACAAAGCATAAAGACAAGTAAGTAGCGTTGGTTTGTTAAGGTAACAGTGTTTGTGAAAATCACTCCTATTTCAAAGTCGTCACACTGGGAATTATCTTGGCAGTGTTTGTGTTTATGCTCTGAGATCATTAGAGGGACTTCAAAAGGTCAGTGTCCCTCAATTCAAAGAATGGGAAAAAGCACTCGTGCGTTCAGAGAGAGAGAGAGAGACAAAGAGAGTGACAGAGAAAGAGAGACCGGTAGAGAAAGAGACACAGTAAGAGACGCCTCAGTCAGCTGATGCTGAAGCTAACCAATCAGGCTCCCATCAGCACCGATACAAAACATCACAAAATAAAAGTAATGAAATGCAGTTACTAAACATATATATTTGACTTCAGTTTGCTCCAAATATGTTTGAATTTGACTCCTGTGAGCATAAGAAATGTAAGAAAATGGAAAGGATGAGTTCAACTTGGATTTAGGAATACACAGTTAGGAGCATTTGGTCAGAGGTTAGCAGGAATACTAAAACATGGAGCTTTTGTAAGATTCCACACAAGCATCCTGGCACATTGCGCCCTCAAGAAACAATGGGGAAATAGTATAGTCAACACTCCCTCTGTCTGTGTTTATAATTCATTTGTGCTATTTTCCTCAGACTTTGTGCTGTTCTCTATACTGATTTGAATCTTCTGTGACACAAATCACATGTTATGGTATCCAACAGTGCACATAAAGCAGCAACTAGACTGTTTTAGGGGCCTGATGAGGGTCCCGCTGTTGGCACAGTCAAAAAGAAATGAGGACACCGAGGACATGAAACAGGAAACAGTCCACACTTCCTCAGACAGGATACTGTGCTCCTCTAAGAGGCATCCTGGAATCCAATGCCTCAAAGACTTTACCAAGTGTTTCACACAAACACACTTCTTTTCCTTTGACACATTAATGCATTGTAGAGAGGAAGAACACACAATGTAAGACTACGAGAGGAAAGCTCAGCAAAAACCGAGCATGACTGAAAGGCCAAGGCCATGAGGTCGGTCAACATCAGGTTTGGAAACACTGTGATGAAGATCAAATTGTGAGGAAGTTTGATTGCTTTGAACTATCACTTGCATGTAAAACAACAAAGCATATAAAAAAGGTTTACAGCAAACCTCCCTTTCTACTTCTACTCCACAAAATCTCAGAAGGATATATTGCACTTTTAAAGACTACATTGCTTCTAAAGACTTTACAGTACATAAGAAATATACAGTACGAAACATGATGAACTTACAAGGTTCAATACAATGCTTTACATTGAACTACCCATCCCTTTATAAAGTGCCTAAAACTCATGAAAACCAATAAAATGCTCAAGCTACAGTATGTGCTATTTTTATAAGTATATTTTACTTGCTGATCAACAGCAACCAGCAAGTGCAATTATTAAAATAATATTGTAAGAGATTTAACAAGCATATATGCTCAAACTTCCTTGGTTCTTGACTATTCCCTGGTGAATAGTTGGTTATTGTATTGGCCTGTTATGATAGTAGACTTAATATGTTTCAGGTTGGACTCTTAGTTAGAAATGTTATGTTAACTAGTAGTATTTAATTAATTGAATTAAAAATAAAAGCAGCCATAATCTGACATATATTCCATCGTTATCGTCAAAGTGAAGGTAATACAAGTTTAGTCAGGCATGGTTCATGAACATTACATTGTAGTAAATGAATAGCTATTTGGGTATAACAGAACTTTCCCTTTTCGAATAAATCTTTTTAAGAGTACCTTATCTGTAGAAAACACATTGCATCTGGTCCATGCCCTCATGTTGGCTCCACTTGGTTTGTTTAAGATTCAGGTGCTGCCATCTGCTGTATCATCTCACCACACTGTATATACATTCTGGGTACATGGTTACAAACGTCTTCTCGTGGACGATTAGTATATGGCATTTTCCACAAATGCGTGACATATAACTACATTTTTACAATTAAACAATTCGGCTACCAAACATTTTCTGCCTGCAAAATCCTCCGGAACCATTGCGCCTGTTTTCCGACGGACCCTTTTCTGTGTCGGACAAAACATTGCCCACACCGGTCCTGTTTCCGGTAGACCTGCAGAAATGACTTGGAGCTCGTTTAGCTTTAGCTGTACTGATGTTGTATGGTCTTTTCTGGCTTTATGTTTCCTTGTCGCTTTTTGTGCTCACAAAATCTCAACATATTTGCCGAGAAAATGGGACACAGGCCGTCTTTACTTGTTATTTCAGGACCTTATTCGATACGGAAAAACAAAACAAACTCTCAAACGAGACAACTGGCTGCGTGCGTTTGACGTCCCTAAAAGGTAACAGTAATTTAGGAAACAAGTTGATATAATGCCTTTTAACTTGTATGCATCATAGATTCAATTGTTGTGTATTTTATATTCAATAGATTTGTATTTCCATTGTTTTCAATTCATAAAGTCAAATGTGTAGATGTTAATTTACTTTTAAAAACAGAATAATCTTGAGTTATTATTTTTCTTTCAGGTGGTTTTCGCATTTCTATGCCATCTCTGTTGGCTGGAACGGTCTTCTTCTGGCAATCTACCTACACTTTATATATCACCATCAGTCATTCCCATCATGGCTGACTGGAATATTAGACATTTTGACAGGTGTACCGAGCACCGACAGTCAAGGTAGACTCTCTTTTTATAAAGTTCGTGTTTTCCTGTTTGATTCATAGTGTTAATCATACTGTCTTCAGTCCCACAGCTGTCCACTGTGCTGGTGCAGCTGCTGCTCTGCGTCCACTCCCTGAGGAGGCTGCTGGAGTGCCTGTTCGTCAGTGTTTTCTCTGATGGAGCCTTACATTTAGTGCAGTATGTGTTTGGTGTGTGCTATTACATCGTACTTGGGCTGACGGTGCTCTGCTCGGATCACCTGGGAAAAGGTGAAACTTAAATCAGAGCTCTCTACATCTGCTATTCACTGATACTGCTATGTGGTATTTTAGTGGATTAGTTTATAGGGCACAACACAACCACTGAGCAAGAGTTTGCTATAGCTAAACAGAACAACAACAAGTGTACTGTCAACTAATTAACTGAATGATGATATTGATGTTTGTGATGTTCTTTTTTAGGGTCTGGATCCCTCCTCTCTCAGCTGGACTGGTTTCATGTGGCTGGAAGTGTACTTTTCATTTGGGCCTCTCTGATGCAACATCAGTCCATAGTCCTGCTGGCGGGGCTTCGCACTGGAAAGTCAGGTATGCTTGTGCAACTGCCTTTTCTTGGTGTTTTGAGCCTTAAACAACAAATTATGTATATTTTTCTGCTGAAGTTTTCCTAATCTACCAAAAATAATTAGATTGTGTTAGCAATGTTGCTACCTTAAAGCCAACCACTGTTTATTTTCTTCAGAAATGTATGCTAAAACACAATATATTGCAAAGACCAACAGTTTTTTAAAATAAGGAAACTGTGAACACTTTATATGCATATTGTCAAAATGTGAGTAGTACCATAAACCAATGATCTATCGGGTACATGGGGACTGACGTATTTGTTTGTTGTCTTTTGTGGTGTATTTCAGGAACGGTGGAGACGCTGGCTCACAGACTGCCAGAGGGAGGCTGGTTCGAGCTGGTGTCTTGCCCGCATTACTTTGCTGAGCTGTTGATCTACGTCTCTCTGAGCTTGATCTTTGGAGGCCTGTCTCTTACCTGGTGGCTTGTCGTCCTTTATGTGCTCTTCAATCAAGCACTGGCAGCACAGCTTTGTCATGAACATTATATTAGCAAATATGATTCATACCCAAAGCATAGAAAAGCATTTATACCTTTCGTGCTGTGAAGACTTATCATTGGTGTGATCTTTCTTGCTTTCCTTTTCTGGGAATTGTTAAGTCCTATAGAAATATCGGAGACACTGAAGGTGTGGGAGTGAAACTCACCTCCCTCTCAGCATTGACTGACAATGTGCTCTCTCAAGCTGCTCATAGCCAACACGAGAACAATGAAGGAAGTTGACAGGAGCTGTCAAGTGTGAATGTGAGGCATGGTACTGCTGCATAAACATTTCCCACAGATACAGTCCCTCCAGTTGAACTGTTTCTCCGAGACTGATGTGATTACAAATGTCGCAAATCACCTTTATTACAAGACTTTGTCTTTTTACATGATACATTGTTATCTTAAACATATTACAAAGTAATTGATTGATGTAAATGAACCTGAACTGGTTATGATGACTGTAATTGTAAATGTGTACATAGCCTATGCATTTTTGATTGAAATATGTTTATTAAAATAATCACTACAGATTATTCAGACTTGTAAAGGTGTCAACGTTTCTTGTACCCAGTGAAACACAAGTGTCATAATCAACTTTATTAGCCATGTAGGCTAAGTGAACACTTACAAATATTTGATTCTGGTTTTAGTCGCTCTTGATGTAAATGTACAGAATATAAGCATACAGTTGAAATAAGGACAACAAAGGTACAACTGAAACATTTAAAAACGTTGTACAGATATAAATATAGATACATACGTACTGGTAAACATATTTAAATCAAGCTTATTTGAATTTAAAATGTTATTGAACTGTTAAAAGCTCAAGTCATTTAGTACATTGTATGACTTGTAATGATAAACATATAATCCTGATAATTTGATTCTTTGTTCCTCTTTTTAAGCACTGAATGTACATTCAGCATGAAATCTTACATTCAGCATGAAATCTTACCGACAAGGAAACTGTCCAATCACGGAGCTGCCCTGTGTGTACGTCAGCCTACACTATCACGTCACTTCTTTAACCGTCCAATCATCTCTCGTCGTTTGCTCCTAAACGCGGTAGCAAGATTCACAGATATTCTCTGTGATCGTGACGTGTATTACTGAAGAGTTCCTTGTATTGTATAGCTAGGTGGTTAATATGAAGTTAGCCAGGTTTGTTGCCGATGATATTAAGTGATCGACGGACGACTAAATAAAGCATAAACTTGTCTCTGGTTAGTATTTTGGACGCCATAATGCCTCTCATGGTTGGCGGAGGAAACCGACGGGCTGATAGAAATGTGATGCCCGTCTTGTTTCTGCTCTCCGCCGCCGTGTTGTTGTTGTCGGTCGGAGTTTCTGCCGTTCCAGAGGAGCACAAACCTGTCCAAGAGCTACCCCCACAAGAGGTAAAGATTTTTTCCCCATTATTACCGATTAAACCCTTATTTGTTGTTGGTAGGAAACCGAAGTTTTGACGGCGGGTGCTGCCGCTGCTTGTTAGCTCCCCGAGCTAGCCAGCACATGCTAACTGAGATACCTGCTGCCACATTGTGTTCCGGGTGTCTCTCAAATGGGTAAAGTTAGTCTTTCCATTTTAGATAATGGGAAGAAAAGAACATGTTAGATAAGATAGCAAACGAAGGTTTGATCATAATAGAAAGCCCATCAACAAAATCGTTGAACACCAAACAGAAGAGAGACAAAAAACAATACAGTAAAATAGGTAAGCAAAGATAAAAGATAAAGAAAGAAATAACATATCAAAATGAAACTATTAATATGACATATTACGTTTTTCAGATGTCACCTTTACCACTGTTCAATGTTCACTCCAGATTCAAATGCTTAATTGTCATATGCACAACAAAGTCCCATGCTCCTGTTTATATAGTGTTATAGTATTATATAGTGGACCTTATCTAAACAGGAGCATGGGAGATTCTTACGCCTCTTAACAGAAGTGTATCTGACAGTTAGCATGTTGTAACATGCAAACAACATCCTGTGTGGGTTTGAGCCGGTTGCTTCACAAAATCACAATGGCTTTTTAGTGACTAGAACTGCAACAACTTGACGATTTATAATTGTATATTTCCACAAACATGCACATTTGACTTTTATAATAAACTGTGTGCAATTTAGCTGACTGCCAGTGTGTTTTACTCACACAACCTTACTGCTTTTCTTTGCAGAAAGCCACAAGTCCCCATCCAATAGGCCCAGTAGTTTCTGAAGATGGCTCCAACAACGGGAACCTGGGTTTCATCCATGCCTTTGTGGCCTCTATCTCCGTCATCATCGTCTCTGAGTTGGGAGACAAGACCTTTTTCATTGCAGCCATCATGGCCATGCGTTACAACCGTCTCACCGTGCTGGCAGGTGCCATGCTGGCCTTGGGGCTGATGACCTGTCTTTCTGGTCAGTAAAAGTGCATGATTTGTTTTTGCATGCAACTGAAAATTAGAGTTATTCCTCTCTCTTTTGCTGAGTAATAATTAAGTAATTGTTGTATTTTTGTCCCCCAGTGCTATTTGGCTATGCCACAACCATCATCCCTAGAATCTACACTTACTATGTGTCCACCGCTCTGTTCGCCATCTTCGGTATACGCATGCTGCGGGAGGGGCTGAAGATGAGTCCAGATGAAGGCCAGGAGGAGCTGGAGGAGGTGCAGGCGGATATCAAGAAGAAAGATGAAGAGGTGAGATAAGGTTTTACTCACCTATCATGCTATTTCTAGGCAATAGCATAGGTCTCAGATATATAAAAGTATATAAAAAACATGTCTATGAAGTGTTTTGCTCAAAATACCAAACAGATCACCCATTATAGCCATGCCTCATATCCCTCTATTTCACTTCCTGTTTCAAAAGTGCTGATTTTGGTATAAAGCTTTAAAAAAGAAAGAAAATAAATTGATAAAAAAGAGGGGCGGAGCTTATGCCTGCTCATGCGGGAGATTCTACCGGCAGATACTGCCGTGATGAAACGCCATATCATGGATTATCAAGGATCAAAAAGTGCATTTTGCATTATAGGTCCCCTTTAAGACCTAAAAATACCTCAAAGTCAACTTTATTGTCAATTCCTCTATTTGTGACAGGGGGATCAAAATTCTGTTTTCCCATCCCAGAGAATACAAATATTAAAAAAGAAATATACATACATACAAGCCTTTACAAAGACACTCTTACCAATCAATAAAGTAAATCTAATCTAATATATAGGTAATGGTTACGTTTTCCATACAGATATGCCTTTTATCTCTTGAGCTGAACAACAAATCTTTCATAAATACTTTTTATTTTATTTGTATTCCTACCTAGTATAGAAGGCAACATCCACACATTTTACTTACCTGAAATAATACCGCAAAAAGTGCCACTGATATGATATGTATCCCTGTGTCTAGTGGGAGATACTGTGTAAAAGAGTGAAACATTATACAATTTAAAAATACTCTCATATTTCAATATGTAAATACGGTGCTCTTTCTTCAGCTTTGTTTTGTGTTGTCGTTGCAGCTCCAGCGGGCCAAGCTGATCAATGGGGCGGCCGATGTGGAGGCTGGGACAGGGACGGCCCTGCCTCAGGGAAACTGGCACAGCATCATCTCACCCATCTTCATCCAGGCCCTCACCCTCACCTTCCTGGCAGAGTGGGGGGACCGCTCGCAGCTGACCACCATTATTCTGGCTGCGCGGGAGGTTGGTTACATTAACTTTAAGACAAAAGCATGTGTCTTCAATACCTTTTTTAATCGTATACCTTACAGCAGGGGTGTCCAAATGTGGCTCGCGGGCCATTTTGAATCGGCCCTCAGCAAATTCAAAAAGTATAATGGAATGCGGCCCACAAATGAAACTTGAGCTTGTCTTGTATTGTACTTCTTAAATATATCTGTAAACATATATTACACAGTAGTGTTCATGTGTTGATAAGCCCACTTTCAGTCAATTCAAGTTGAAAATATGTTCTAACAAATCTAAGTTGATAAGAAAAAAGCCCAATAACTTATTTACATAACAACCTTGAAATATACCCTTCATATTTCCTCTTATGATAAGCAATCTAAGGCTTTTGTTTTTAAGGAATGAGCTGCTAACAAAATAAATGAAACCATATGGAAAGCTTTGATGTAGGCTGTTGTATCAAGCATCATTTACTTACATTTGATTGATTTAGCTAACTTATAACTTCACTTATGACGCAATAAACCTCACCTCTACTGAGTGGCCCAGCCCTTCGAATATTTTTCTGTATGTGGCCCTCAGTGAAAAAAGTTATTTCTTTATCTTTTTGAGCCACACCACACACAGTAAATGCCCCCCCCCCCCCCCCTCTGTGTTGATATACTGATTTGTAAATATGTAGGAAAGGCAATATATAATTTGCGTCAGTGTGAAAGAGACTTGTTTTTTTAAATCCTAGGATCCATTTGGAGTCGCTGTGGGCGGTACACTTGGACACTGTTTGTGTACAGGACTGGCTGTGGTAGGAGGGAGAATGATCGCCCAGAAAATATCTGTCAGAACAGGTGAGAAAGTCCTTTTTTTGTATTTTTTACACTGCTATGGACAATCTTGCACTAATGTGGATTAGTAGTATCCCAAAAATATTGAAGTGACTGTTATTTTGTATAAGATAAGATGGTACTTTATTGATCCCAATTTGGGGCATTTTGGTGTTGCAGCAGCATCAAAAGACAAGGCATTTTACAATAAAACAATACAAATATAATAGAAATAAACAAGAAAGTACTAGTATATATTGATTGTTGTGTTTTTATTTTTGTTATCCTAATGTGTGCACATGTATAAATGTGTCTGATTGTGTATATATAGGATATACATATTTTATACATATTTGTATTTTTATATTCGGGATTGTGGAAAACGGTATTTCGGTCTCTCTGTCTGTACACACAAACTGAAAGATTGACAATCAAGTTGACTTTGCCTTTGACTTTTGAAAAGCTAACTGGTTCATTTTCATGTTAACAGTCCGTTATTAAATTGTACTCTACGCTCTTTATAAATGTTGAAGTTACGTTTAAACACAGTGGATCTCATTTTACATTTGTAGATTGTATAAAGGTTATCCGTTTTCATGATTCAGCATTAATGACACTGTGCCACTACTGCTTGTGCTTCCATGCTCTCAGTTCCCTGGGGCAAATTATTATCCATCCATTAGTGTTTGCATAACTTGACCCGGTCAGTGTAACGTAGCAACAGAGCGACCAGAGCAGCTCAAACATTAGTGCTTATCATTACCCTTGAGAGCACCAAAACCAGCTGGGAGATTCCTTAAACAGTTTGGGGCAGCATGGATACACACAAAGTATATGTTGATCTATTTCAAAAATCTAATATTAAGTCAGATAAATTGTAATGTATAGAGAAAAATGCAAAAAATGAGTGTGCTTTGCCAATTGTTTGGATCAGATTATAAGACTTATTTTTCATAATTCCTATTTTATAATTAAATGTGTTGCTAAAACCATCTACACACAGGTTGGTTAATTGTCCTTTATATCCTAACCCCATAATTCAATGATTTGTTTCTTGTTTTGCTTCCATAGTGACAATCATCGGTGGGATAGTTTTTCTGGCCTTCGCCTTCTCGGCCCTGTTCATCAAGCCAGACGCTGGATTTTAATTTGAAGAGAGACTTTCAGGTTTTTTCTCTGTACATACGTGTAATATTTGGTTAAGTTGCTGTAGAGAGACTGTAGTTTTGACTCTGTGTGTGTCCAACAGACAGTCCTTTCCTCATCTCCTAGCTAGCCTCTGTTCCACTACAATCTGTAACTCTGGGGGGGGTAAAGACTTCCCTTTGTTATCATTAAATAACATTTCCTAACAGTGAATGCACATTAAAGCCGTGTTGGAGCTGTTCTCTAAGCAATGCTTTATTTGTATGAAGTACAGGAGTTGGATAACGTAGGAAATAAATCCCTGGATCTTTTTCTGAAAGTCTGACTTGTACGTCTTGATGGGAAAGAAACCTCAAAGCTCAGAGGCTAGCTAAGAGTATTGGATTTGACTGTAGCTCTCAGTTAGAGCTGTACTCTCATCACAAGGTGTGTGAGCGAAGGAGGACTGGATTGTTACTGATTACCGCCCCCCCGACAGAGCCTGACATGCAGTACTTCCCTCAACGCTAAGCCGTCAATTAGACACGGAGTCCATTTACAAATATTTGCCTCTTCTTCTCTGTTTTTTAAATGTTTAATGTTTATTTGTCATGAGCCCAGGTGCTGTCAGGTGACAGATTAATAACTGGACGAGCTGCCAGTTCACTCTCACAGGAGTTGTTCCATCTTCCTCTGAGTGATACATCTGATCTGCCACATAATGAGCGGGCGTACATTACATTATATTATAATTTCCCAGTGTTCAAAATACACTGCAAACATAACCAACAGCACATTATTAATTAAAAGAATGTGTTTGAGATATATGATTTGAGATTTTATTTAAGGCTTCATCCAAAAATGTCCCTCAGTTTATCTTCTGTTTCAAATAAAAGCAGTCTTTTTTTTTTAAAGAGACACGAACCACTAGAAACCTCTGTGTCCAGGTGTGGCTTAACCTATGTTGGATTGGAGCTACATCACAGCTTAAGATTGCTTATGTGCTTATTTTCAAAACATTAATCACATATTGGACATATTGATCGGGGGAATTCAACATTTCCTGCTTTCAGTTTGGGTGCTGGTATTGAACAAAACAGGTTGAAGAAAGGCCAGTACTTGCCTCACTCTCCCACACACGTTCACGCTTCCTCCGTGATTATAGCCATTAAATACGAACCTCGCTGCCTCTATCGTTGCTGCCCCGAATCACTAAATAAACGATAACATCAGTTACAGAATGAATGACAGAAACCATCATGTATCCAACTTAAAAACTTCCATTATAAGTCACTCCTTTAGCCATAAGCAGCTGTGGTGTAGCTACAGCTACACCTGAACACGGCAGGGTATTTTAAACCAACGTTTCACCTTTTTATTTAAAGTGGTATCTATTTATTTAGCTTCATGTACTGTAGCAGCAGAAAGGGTGGGAGAGGTAACCATAAACAAGGAATGGACATATTTTTTTAAGGTAAAAAGGCTAAAGCTGCATTGTCAATATTTGACAGGCTGTGCCCAGCTGTGAAATACTTCTGTTTGTGATACAGGTTGGTTGTAATGCCTATAAATCTAAATTGCTCAATAAACATATTTCATGTGTTGTCTGATTTCATACCCAGTCGTGTGTTTTGTTTTGAGCTCAGTGGACAAACCTAGAAACACAAGTAAAAAACAAATCAACATACTTCATTACAGTTTTATTCTCAAATTGAATGGGGAGCAAACAATAGATAATTTTGCCTTACACATTTATTTTCATTTATGATTGGTTTGGCTCGTGAAATAAATGCAAGGTGCACACGTTAGCAATAATTCATGAATTACAAGCCGTGAAGGAATGTTAATTGAAAATGTGGTCATATTTCAGATCCTTTCTGAGAGTACATTTCCCGTAGAAGAGCTTTAAACTGGAGCATAAAAGTGACCAGCAGGTGGCAGTAGTGGATGTAAAAAGTGCAACGTGTATATTCCATCTGAGCATAAGCATATAACTGAACAGTTTAGTATAACTAGGTATGGTTACTGAACGTCTCTCCTTGTAATGATGGAAAAATAGGTTTGGTTTTCAAACAGTACATCCATTAAATAGAGTAAATGGTGCAAGACCAAACATTTCAAATGCTACCTAGCCATTCTAGCAGGGCTGAAATTCTGCATTTTGATTCTTAGGTCACACCTGAAAGCAGTCCAACACCTGCTCTGACATCAGGTGTGACCTAGATGATCTACTATTCAGTGTTTTAGATGTGTCTTACAGTCGTGTATACTGCAGCAGTACATTTCATGAGCCAGACAATAACGCCACACAAATATGAACGGAGGGGGGACACCTATAGACATTCAAACAACATTTACCACAATTTCATTTAGGGATCCCCTCTCTTCAGATAAAACATGTTTCCCACCTGTGTTTTCTAGCTTGGAAATGACCAAATAAAAATAACTAGTGTTCTCTTAAAAAGCTTGGGTCAATTTCAACCATTCCCTGCATCAAGGAAATCAACTTGATAGGCTGGAAACAAAGTCTTTGCATAACCATCAACTCTCTAGTAACCAGCCCTTTCTGGGGGGAAAGGAGCTCAACAGTCTTTGTGTTAATGTCACAGTTCGTTTAGATCCTTCATGCTCGCACATTTGAAAGCTGTGCCGTTACCTTCTTTAATGTCATGAGTCTATGCAAGCTCAATGAGGTTTATCCCGGAAATAGAAAAATAACTTGGATCTCTTCTTTTACTGCATGTCTTATCATACATTGTGCAAAGTCTCTCACAGCCACACGTCTCATGCTAAATACTTACATTCTTGTAGGTGTAGTGCCCCACCTATACCACGCTCCAGAGGGCTGTTTGCACATGGAGGTTCCCTCAGAACTGTTGTGTGTCTTTTTATATATATATTGGTGTGTACAGTTACAGGACCACAAATGGATTTCAAAAAGAGGAGTGTAAAGGTTGACCTATACTCTAGCTACTGTATATGCACAGAAACAACACGGTGGAGAAAGCAGGTTAGGGACTGTTTGGGAGTTATTAGTGGGAGGTAGGTTCAGAAAAGGGGGGAAGGTTATGAATTATTTCTTTGTTTCTGAAAGGAGGGCCTTTCATTTTTCCATGGCTAAGGTTTTTTTAAATGTCATGGTTCTCTCGCCTAAATAGTTGCCTTGTGATGGATCATAAGTTTGCGTCTGCCATAAGCAGAGGACAACAATCATATCCTCCCTCAAACTCAAATTCCCCATAGCAATATTCTTTTGTATAATACAGAGTTTTTAAATACATTTTGAAAAAGTGTGTGTAAGTGTATGGAATGGGGATGCAATATTGACACGATATAGCATGTCGATGACTATAATGTAGTCTAGATCAGCTACACACTAAACATGGGCCTGCATCATTAAATACAGCTAGATATGAAACAACTTTAACCAAAAAACATGAAAGCATCTTTAAAAAAAACAATTACATAAATAATGCAAGCCAAATGTACTTGGAAATGAGTGATTCAAACTTTAAATACACAATTTACAGATAGCAACAATCTAATAACATGAAACCCACTGGCTAACATTTGAAACAGATGACACATTTGGAGTCAAACTAAAACATAATAATTGCAAGGTCATAATTTAGGTTAAAATATGTTTTCTACATGTTCAAACTAAATGAGCGGGACTTCAGGGCAGTCGAAACCCCAGCTGTTACATGATGAACTCAAGTTATTGGACTTCTTCCATGGTGTAATCATTATGAACACCAAATTCAAACTTCATTATATGCATGCTATGTAAGCACACATGGTATCAACTTGGGCCAAAGGTCCAACGCCGACTCTATATTTCACCGGACCAGCGACCATTAGTTGCTCTCAGCCATCTGACGGTGGACTCAGTCAGATGGTGAGGAGGCTGCCAGGCCGGCCTGCTTACATGCTGGTCAGCATTTTGAAATGGTACACAATAAAGTAGGAAAGAAAAATCCACCTACACAACTCCAAACAAAGTTTCTCCTTTTATGCTTGATGCGTAAACAGGCAACTGTTTGCTAAAAAAGTTCACTGTATTAACTTAATATGGCAGTGTTGGGTTCACAGCTGGCTTCCACTGCAGCCAAGTAGCCAATTTAAACAGTGATTGCGGTTTTAGGTTAGGGTGAGTCAACATGTAGAGAATTAGCTGGAATTGAATCTGCTTTCTCAAATCAAAGCCTGACTGGGAACATAAAAGCAAGGCAGATTTAATTCCAACCAATTAAAGCTGGTTTGAAGCTACAGCACTCAGGCTGCAGACACTGAGTCTAAAAGAGGTGGGTGACGGTTCTCTCTCTTCCTGAGAGTGCGAGGAGTTCACAGATATGAGGGGACCTTTGAGCTGCTGCCTCACTAGAGCTAGTTAAGGGGTTTGTGATTCCTGCCGTTCCCACAGGACCGACTGGATGTTCCACGGAAAAAGGTGCAGGAGGGAGTCTGGGCTGCTCTCCTCACTCTGCTGACACCAGATAAGGGGCTTAAGACTGGATGGATGATCAGACTGCCAATTACAACACTGTTTGATCAGAGCCATGCTAACACAAATCATTTCACTCAAGCTTAGTGTGAGAATGTCAGCCTCAGGTTACCAGGTCTGACTTTCACATTTCAAATATATTTGAAGGGGTAAATATCTAGATGTTGAATAAATCTATACGTACATCATATAACTCTGAAAAGGAGGGTTCTCAGCAGAAGTGCTAAACATGAATAAATAAGAAAATATCAAATCAAATCAAGTTTTATTTATATAGCACATTTTTAAACGATTTTTGGTCGAGCCAAAGTGCTGTGTTGTTCAGCATTATTGTTTGCTAACATTTAGCTTAACCTTGGTAGGTTTAAGTCAATTCACACTATTTAAGTTGTATTTATTTTTTAGTGTGCAGACTTGAAGCACATCTTAAAAAGCTTTTTAAAATACTTAAAATATCCTCTATTATTTTATGAAATCTGTGAAAATACGGTTCAAGGATTAAACAAACTGTGACACAACAAGCAGCATCGGCAGTGTTGACTGTTGACACACAAACATCTCCCCGGAGAGGGGGGTCTGTGAGAATATCAGCCACTTTAAGATCTCTTTTTCTTAGAGCACTAGAATAAAAGCATATTCAAAGCTTCAAAATAACTACACGTTTCATTTCATGCATCATATAAAATATTAGTTCCTTCTTTTTCATTATATTTACATAATATATTACACCTGGTGTCCTGTACAGTTAAAGTCCAATGTACACCAAATCTTCAAAAATATTTTCTGACATAATTATATTCAACAAGAAAAAGAGAAAACATCCAAAACAAGGACGTCCTTGAAGCTCGACAGAAGATTCTCTGCATCACCTCAATTAACCAGAGAGCTCTGCATAACTCAATCCTGTGAGGGTGACTGGAACACACACACACACACTGAACACACAGGGAGAGGGCCAGGGGAGGGTGTGAGGGGGAGTCCATTATAAGGTCTGTGGCTCCCTGTTTTCTTTGAGAAAGGCCCTTGTCCCAGACCCGGTTCTCTGCAGCTCTCAGTGCTCAGTGCAAACAGCAACAGATCTCTGTGAGGGGGGGGAGCCACCGCTGCCCATCCCATCACTTCTCAGCCTGAGGCGTGGTCTTAGTGCTGCACTCTTAGCAGGACTTCTCTTTAGACCCCTGTCACAAAGACACCCGTCACAATGACACCCACACTTGGGTTTGGCTCAGTCCACTTCTGATTGGCTCCCCCCAGCTACTGTTGCTGCGAAGAGGAGCGGTCAGACAGACTGTCGGCCCGGTGAGGGGCCAGCTGCTGATGATGATGATGATGAAGCTGTTTATGCTGCTGTAGCTGCTTCTGTTGATGATGATGCTGTTGTTGTTGTTGTAACTGCTGTTGTTGTTGTAACTGTTGCTGCTGTTGTTGTGGTGTGGCAGTGAAGGCACCCTGCTGCTGCAGAGGGAACGCCGCCTGCAGGATCAACTGGGTGGACTGGTTTCCATGAAGAAGCCGAGAAGCCTTGTGTGAAAAAATGTGATTAGCGAGTTGATTGGATGGAAATTAACCTCTTTATTTAAGTGACATTTGTAATTATGGCATTTTCTGATTCACTTGATTGTTGGTTTGTAATAAATGTTGAAATGTTCTTAATAAATAACAAAAACACCAAATAAATTGTCCAAACAGTTACCATTAATTATGTGTATGGGTTTTATGAGAGTTGGTTTTTCCAAGTAAATGCAAAATGCAGATGCTGATTGGTGCGCATGTCTTTTTCTTCCATGCAAAGTGACATCACATGACCAGGACTTTATTTGACTGAATTCAATTATGATATGATGTGTTTGGTCCTTACCACATGTTTAAATAAATTGAAACATACAAACAAGGTTGTAGCAGGCTGTATATTACTATACTGAGCTCACATAAAGGGTCTTCATCAGTCTCTGTCATTTGGAACCATTAATGTGCAAAGTTAGTTCATGTTCATTTCCCCCCGAGCGTTACCTGAAGGAACTGAGTCTGCTGCAGTGGAGCCTGCCCTAGCTGCATGGCTGTGACCTGAGACTGCTGCTGTACCTGCTGCTCCTGCTGATGATGCTGCTGCTGCTGCTGATGATGCTGCTGTGGTGGCTGCTGGGAAATGCTGATGGTCTGGGTCTGGCCCTGCTGAGGAGCGAAGGCAGTCACCACTTGGCCCATAAACATGGTTGTGGGGACCATGACGGCCCCACATGCCATCTGCCCTGCCATTAGCTTGGTGAGCAGCTGAGGACTGGCAGGAAACCTGTGGGAGACAGGAAGTGGGCAAAAGGCTGGTTAGGGTCACTGAATCACATGGAAATGGTGTCAGGAGTCTTCTTGGACGAGTTATTGGAAATGTTTGGATTACAGAAGTTTGAACAATACGCAGACACCATTGAAATCCAAGTCTACTTGGCAGTATGATACTAATAATATTAGTTTAGCCAAATATTTATCTGCAACTATGCAATTTGTGGTTTAGACAGAATAAATAGACATGCAAAAAAAGAAATACAGCTGTGTAGCATTGGAATGTTGAGTTCAAATGTTGATGTTTCAATGTTATGAATGAAGCTTCAAACTATTCCATTCAGCCCTAAACTAAATTGTAGAGACACAATTACAGAGGTAGGCAGAATGGCAGTGCAATCAATGATCTAACAGTACTTAATAACAAGCTCACTTTGTGTGATGATATGAAATGTAATCATGACAGCAATGGGACCAGTTTTTAAATGAGGGTACAAACCTAATTTGAGCTGAACGGTCCTGTGCAAATGTGGCCACAGCAGGAGTGTTGTGTCCAGTATTCTGAGCCAGGCTGGTGGCAATCTGGAGCACGTTGGCTGGGCTCTGCTGAGGGATCATCATCGTGTTGTAGAGAGGTGCAGGCAGTGGATTTAGTTGAGGCTGCAAAATGAGAGACGAGCGTTGAGATTGAAATACACAGAACAAGATGAAGATGTGGCGGTGTTGGATGTTTTTATTGGACAGCACAGGGAAAACTGTTTAGTTTGTCAGACCTGTGAGAGTGCTGTGCTCTGTTCCTGCAGCAGCATTTGTTGCTGGGGCTGGACAGCATGTTGGGTTTGAATGCTGCTCTGTAGAAGTCCTGCAGAGACCACCTGGCCCTGCATGCTGAGGGTCCCGCCCTGCTGCACAGCGCTCCCCTGGGCCATCTGAACAGAGCTGAGACTCAGTCCGCCGGCTCCTTTCGGCAAGAACATCTGAGACATGCAGAAACGATTCTTACTACAACAGCAAAATCCTCCACCCAAACCAAAAAAAACATTTTTAAAAGAACAAAAAAAAACAGCACTTCTCCCCAGTCTCACCTCCAGGCTCTGGCCCTGCACTCTCTGCAGCTCGTCCTGGATCTGCCGCAGCTCGTCCTGCTGCCGCTGAATGTTGGCCTCGATCAGCCTGGTCCTCTGCTCCAGCTGCCCCTTCAGGCTATGCATGACCTCGAGCTGGCTGGAGAACTGCACCATGGCCTGCTGAAGAACAATGACACGGGACACAGAGGGAGGTTAAATGGTAACGGCTGAGGTGATTTAAATGCATGTATCTAGCATAGCATAAGAGGAGCAATTCTAAATAGTGATTCATTGGCACCAAAATGGCACTTACAAATCATTGTCACAGATTACTGCTCCAAATCCATTATACATTTTGTTTAAAAAACATTTTTAAATCACATTTAGGTTGCAAATGCGTGTTAGCGACAGAGCACTAGAAATATTATGAGGATAAATTAAATATTCTTTACGAAATTAATTGATAATCGGAATTGGTTAATGAATTCATTTCATTGATACACAGCCCTATTTATCAGAGAAGCCCAAAGCAAAACTCCACTTGACTTTTTCCTCCAGTTTTTCCTTGAATGAAACCAAAGCATACTATAAAAAGGTTAGTTATCTTACCTGCCCACTGATCTGAACTTGTTGCTGTTGAGGCTGTTGCTGTGGTTGTTGTTGTTGTTGCTGTTGTTGCTGTTGTTGTGAAACCACGGATGTTGCCATGTTCTGCCCTGTAGTCTGGGAGCTCATCGACTGCTGAAATAACATACAACATAACATTAAACACCAGAAAAAAATTGGATGAAGATCATTTCAAAACAAAGCATTTGATCTCTCCCTAACGGTACGTCCACACGGCAGCGTCGCATGGTTCAACGGAGACGCTTCCCATTCACTTTGAATGGGGTGACGTCAAGCTTTGCCGAACTGCATTGTGGTTCCGTCGCGTCGCTTTGCCTCCGTTGCTCGGTTCGAAAGTTGAGAAAAGTTCAACTTTTCGAGCGTCGACGGAAGCGCCAGCCAATCGAATCATATGCCAGTACAAGAGCTAGCCAATCAAACCGCGTGCTTGTGTGTCCGGGGCGGGAGATTCATGTGATTGGTTGTTGGTCGCGCACCAGACACGCCCACCGGCAAGCTTCAACGCGACGCTGCCGTGTGGACGTACCGTAAATGTCCACTAATTAAAGCCCTTTTACACAAGACTTTGTCCTTCACTGACCTGACTGCTGATGGATGATCTTCGCACTGACGTCATCTCCACAGCACAGACAGACTGGTGCCCTGGTGTACTCCTGTCCTCCTGAAGCTTCACCTGCGACGCTGAGAGGGAAACATAAACAGGATTCTCAGGTTTAAAAAACGAGAAGGCCACCTGGTATAAACTAGTTTCAGTCACAGAGATAGTAGAGCGTGCTTACAGGCTGGGTCAGACACAGCGGTGTGCGAGGATTTGTGTGAGCTGTGAGACGAGGCCGAAGGTGACCGGCTGTGGTTGAAGCGATCCAGAGCCTCCTTCAGGCTGGTGGTGTTGAGCTGGGACTCAGACTCTGAGTCCTGGGACTGCTGTGAGGCGAGGGGGAAAGTCAGATCTGGGTCTCCATGCAAATCATTGTCACAGATTACTGATCCAAAATCAAGTAATCAATCAAGTCTCACCTTGTCTGCTGTGATCTCAGGTTGTATTTCTTCGATTCCAAGCTCTCTGCGCTGTTCTGCTCTTACTTCAGCGTAACTGTAGAACAAGGCAGTGAATGTGGTATAAAGATTATGCGTTTTTCTATTTGTTTCCCTTTTAGAAATGTAGAAATCTCCGGGTAAATCTTTGATGTACCTTACAACAGTGTGTGTGCAGACAATAAACTCTGGTCTGGAGTTCCACTGGTGGTAGGTGATGTAGTAGTGAGTCTGAAGCCAAATCCACTGCTGCCCTTTGGTGAGGAATCTGTAGTAGCAGGACTTTCCTTTGCCATATTGCATTACTAGAGAAACACAAGGAAAGGGAGCTTGATTAAAAGCTCAAAAGAAGTTGATGAACATATTTGAGTGATGCCTGAGAAAGATGTACTCGCAGTGTTCGTGGCATTTGGCCAGTGTCTCCAGGTCATCTACATGGTAGTAGTCATATCCTGATGTACCCAGCACCTCAAATGGGAGGTAACCTATGATGGGTGGAGCTCTGGAGAAACACAGACAATGTTGTTGCAATGAATATTTGCCTAATTAAAAAATGGAGCAGAAAAATAGTCAATTTGAATTAAAATGATATGGGGATAGAAATGATATTGGAAGTGCTGGAAGTGCTAAACTACAAAGGACACAATCTCAACACAGAGAATTTACATTGCTTTGCGTGACGTGGCTTCATTGACATTTCACTACAGCATATGCATTTAATATAAGCTTTGGAATCACTCATTGACTTTATCACAGACCTGTCGTAGGTTTTTTCTAACAGCAAAACACAGGGAAAAACAAACTGGAACAAAGATACTGTTTCATATCTGTACCTGTGGTCCAAGAAGAGAAATTTCCACTCCAAACTATGTCTGGAGGTGAATTCCTCATTTGGCTCCTCTACAGTGCACATCTCCTGTGAGGGAAAGGGGGGAATTTATTTTAACACTATTAACATGTATCTAAAAATACATGAGATAAATACTTACATTCTAAGATGCACATGCAGGAAATAATGTCAGTCTAAGGAGGTAGATATAAGCATTCACATTCTCCTAAAGTGCTGTGTTCATTGTTAACCAGAATTACTAAGCATCACAAGTTTAAATGAATTTCCATCATGTCTTTCATACAGGAACCACTGTCATGATTTCAGTGCCAGAACCTTCATTCCATAATACTTTTGGGTATTGTTTAATCTTTATTCCAAACTCAATGCCACTTAATTTCGGACCAATAAACCGCAAATCAAGAGCAGCTCTTTAACTCAGTTGAACAAAAGATTTTACACAATGGGAAAGAGACCAAAAGATACAGTGTTTTTTAAGTCAACAGGGGACTGCCTTTAATGGTTTACAGGAGCCCAAATGTGTTTGCATGGAGTGACTGGGCAAGCATTGTGGTTGGTTTCTTTTCTAATTAAATTCATGAATCAATTCAAACCCTGAAGTGTGAAACTGAATGTGTTTTAACCGATGAAAGGAGAAGTGTGAAGTGGAATAACGTCTTATGATTATTACCTTGATAAACTGTGGTTTGGCCAGCCTCACAGTTGCTATCAGACACACTCCGTCTTCATAAGCAGAGTGAAGCGATCTCTGGATCACTCCTTCAAAACCGTTTCTGTCACAGTTAGGCACTGGGGACAAATAAAATAACAGAAACTTTACGACTAGGAAACACAGCCCAGAGCTCAGAAAATAATTGGAATGTAACCTACCATTATTCAGGGACTTGAAGTTTCCGATGAACTTGACATATTCGTACACAGGGGGCTCTTTGGGGTCGATTGTCCCTCGGAGCATGTGGCAACAGAACTCCAGCTGATTGTTTGCTGGAAAAAAACATCCCAGTATTAAATAGAAAGAATGAAAGGAAATAATTGACACTTGGGATGACTAGATATACAGTAAAATTATATAATAGTTGAATAATACAAATGTAAATTCCACAATGCAAGTCAAATATTCTACTTACTTTTCAGATATTCAGGCGTCAGTGCCTCTCCCTCCATGATATGAGAGGACAGAGCCTTGTACACGTCTGAATGCTCCCCCATGGGCAGGAAGTTCAGAAGGTTCTGGTCCACAAGATCCGACTGTAACACATGTCAAATATCACAAATACATCTTTGAGCAGGAGTTGCTTTACACAGAAAAACGTTATTAAACAGGTAGCGCTATCGACATGTTGGCTTTGTTATAAATATTATGAAAATGTGATACTGAGTCTACGTTATTATTGATTTACGTTATACTCACAGGCAAATGTTCAAGTAGGGACGTCACACTCTCAGAGGCGTAGATGATATTTCCATCAGTCATAATTGCAAGAAAAAATCCATCCAACGCCTGACAGAAACAAAATGTACTCTTGAATTAGAAAAAAGGAAATGCAAAGACTACAGCATTCCACGTTTAGTTAAAGATGGGCCATAATAACAAATGATAATTTAGGATTTTACAAAGGGAATGATACCATGATGAAATCATATATACAGAGATGTCACAATACCCAACAACGTCTTCTGAAATGATAATAACAAGTGGGTATTAACTCAAATTTCTCAGAAAATCTGAAGTGAAAATTATTTGACGATTGTGGCTTTTAAAACTGGACTCCATGCATGTAAACATAGTCAGGGTATAGATTCAAATATATATATTAATTTTCATCTATCATTTTATTTCACTTCATTTTGCAGTAAAGTTGTAAATAAAATAAAAAGTATTTAAATAACAAAGGATTATACAAAAATAGGTTTTACCATCGGATTTTCCAATAAAGAAACAATATTTAATTACCAGAAAACATGCTATATGCTGATATATATATGGAATTACCAATATTGGGATAAAGGATGTTGGCCATATCGCCCAGTCATATATTTTTTTAGCTCACCTCCAACATCAGCTGAGTGAACTCTTCATTACTGAGGAAAGGAGGCTTCCAGTCCTGTCGGATCTCCGTTGACTCTGACTGAGCTGCGATCTCTGGTGGACATAAAACATAAAACATAAAACAGGTTCAGCTGAAGGGTGTGATCCACAACTCCGAATCTTGATCACACACCGGCTGCAGGAGCGTTCCTTACCCTTATGTTTGTGCAGAAAGTCGATGCTATTTTGCAAAATAGTGGACTTGTCCATCTTGCGGGTGTTGCCCGGCAACATGGTGCCCAGCTCTTTGATGAGGACATTGAACTGATCTCTGCGTTTCTTCTCAGACTTGTTACGGGACACACTGTGGGTAGAATAAGAATAAGAACACACTTTAAATGTTGTGTACCATCTTAAACTGGGGAGGATTAGGTATACGGTCAGAGGGTTTATTTAGTCATTTTAAGCAGCCTTTTGTAACCTTTGTGTAGGATATGGAAGCTGGACCGAATGACAATGTAACCAATATCTTGGTACGTTTTTGTATTTGTATTTATTGCCCTTTTATGGATGTCTGAAATGTATCACATGAAGCTCTGTTTGTCTGGTACATGTGTATCTTGTGATAGACTTGTTTTAAACTGTGACATAATGTGAACACAATAAACAGACTTTGATGAAAAAGAGTAAGAAGAGGTTTTGTCTTCATGTATTACAGTAGTTTGGGCATTGGTCAGAGCTACATTAGCAATGCTACCTTGTTGCGAGTGCTCTAAAATACCCCAACTGTATTTATATTGTGCAAATAAACCCTAACTACAACAACTATATTAGGAACTAAGGCCATCTGATGTATAATTACTCTATGATTTAAGATTCATGATTTAAAAAGTAACATGAAGCTTTTTTGATCTGAACACAATCCAAAGGGATCGTACCGTTTAGCTTTGTCCTTTTCATCTTCTTCCATTAACCCATCAAAGATACTGCTGTCATCCCTGCAGAGCAAATACACCAACAGTTGAAGAAGATCCTCTTATACTCCTTCTCGATTAATCTATTTTAAACACTGGGTTAAGAGCCCCAGCCTAATCCTTTCATGTTAAAGCAGGAAACTGGACACAGTATCCCCAAAAGTGACTATCTAATGCTGCTAGATATTTTAATTGAAATCAACCAATGGCAATTTTGATAGGCGATTGCCTTAAATCGTCATAAAGTACGTAACATCACAGATCATTTTATCTCAAAATCTGTACTGTTGATCAGAGAAAAAAGACAATAATACAAAGCCAAGCCAAATGCAGGTAACTCATAACTCACCGGTCAATGCTCGAGGTCATTTTGTATCGTTTTCAGGGTCGCAGTGTTGGAGAGGGGTCTTTTAATCGTGTGGTAGACATTTGTGAAAGAATCTTTAAGGGAAAAAAACAGCACATGGTAAGAACGTGCACCAGCTTCCTTTCTTCCCAGTGATTGAAAACAGTAGTAATGTCAGATTGTCAAAGTGAATCTCACCTTACTGACAGTACAGCCAGTCCTGTAAGAGGATGAGGAAGTTGCTGCTGGATGAAGGAAGGGTGTGGGTGGACACACTGTGGTGATGGGGGTGGTGGAGCTCTGTGAGTCTTGGAGGAGAGTCACTGAAAGCTTCCTCAATCAGAGGACAAACAGCCGAAAAGAAGTCTTCAATGAGCCGAGTTTTTCTTCTGCTTTGGGTGTGAGACTGGCTCATGGCACATCTGAGTCTATAAGAAAGTGTTAAAGAAAACACACACGTCAGTAATAAAATACTAAAAACAAGATGAATGTCCATCAGGCCAGCCATGAAAGACTGCAGGGTATCAAAGCAGAGAAAAGATTGTAGATAAAATGTGATTATTATAACCATGCCACATATATGAAGCTGTCTAATTTGGGAGGCGGTATTGGAACATTTTAAATAAAGTGATGAATCAGTTTGAGTAAATTTAAAACAAAAATTAAAATGCACTTTCTTTTAAAGATGGGATGTGTGCTTTCAAGCCACATGCTCCAAATAAATAGGGGGCAGCATTGTGTCCTCTATTACTGTCTCCATATAATATAAACCAACAGCAGGGCAGGAATAAGCACACTTCCACCAAAGTGCTGAGAAAACAACTATTGGGTACAGCCCCTATATTTTGGATAGAAACGTAAAATGTTTGTAAAATGTTAGTCTTACTGTGTTTAGAAGTCAGTTTATTTATCATTTTTTACCATAAGATCTTGGAAATACTCTGGGATAATATAAAAAATAACACATGTATACTATATTCTGTACAGTTGGGCAGTAGAGACACATTTTCCCATCACTGTCACCCACTTCAACTGGCAGTGGTCAGTGTAGGACGCTGTAAGAAAAGTAATGAAGCCTCATGTGATGGCTCAATGCAACTACTGATGGTGTGCATATTGCTTTTAAAGTTAAACTATTGCCTCTTGTTTATTACCTTGGATGCTGATGAGGCAGATACAGAATAGCACCTATTTTAATCAGCCAAAAGGAAAACAAAACCACATCACAGTCATAGATTCTGCACATCTCTGAGAGAAATGTATTCTTCCTCTCTCCTGACTCTTGTTATTGCGCAGGTAGGCCTACAATAGATTGTCAAATTAAAATGAGAAAGCCCACTGGGTCTCTAGCATAAAATATTTGACCTATTTATTTCATAAACCAGTTACCGCCAGAACCTGTGGGAGGGTGTTTGGCCTTTTTGTGTCGGTGAGAAAATCCCTCCTCTCAGTGTATCATGGTACACATAACACTTTTATTATTACAAATGTTTCGAATGAAATTGTATTGAAGTTTTAGCTATTTTAGGGATTTATGCTTAAGGTATAATAACTAATATATACAAATATGGAGATACATTATTTAGCGAAGTATCTGTTTAAGCCAAACAGCATAAAACACACCTGCTCTTATTGATATAACTGGCATTATAACACATTCTTGTTCAAGGTCCTAAATATACGAAACCAAGCAACTCCACACACACTCCGTTTCTCTGTGTAACTGTGTCTTTATTTGTGTTTATTGTTAAAGCTTTGTTTATTTTCCTTTTTTATTATTATTTAAAAGCACCCAAGTTTATTGTCTCAGTTTGAGAAGCAAAATAATATGTTTTAAAAAGATCTGTCAAATGTGTCAATGAATGATTTGGCATCTGAAATACTTTTTAATGTGAATACATATTTTAATTCATAAAATATGACCAGGGATCAGTGTGTAAATTAAACCACAGTCAGCATGTATATTGTTATTTAAAAAAAAGTAAATGAACCTACAGTCAGGTTCAACAAAACAAGGAAAGCAGTCGTGTGTTTTAACATGAAGGAAGTATTTACCTTCATGTTAAAACACGCAAAGGAAAAAATGACAGTAAGAGGAGGAGTAGGTTCTGTTGCAGCCCATTGACCTCCAGCTATGCAGTGTTATTTTTACTTACACAAATTCAAAGGACGGGTGACTTATATGAGATGACTGTTTTGTCAAAACAAGAAACCAAATAACCTTTGCAGCAACATAGTAAAGTGAGTGGAGAGTTTCAGTACAGAGTTTTCTCTACACAGACTTACCTTCTGAACCAGAGAGTATCAGTATTTATGCATCTTGAAAAGTCAAGCTAGCTGGTAAACAGACGGAAAACATATAAAAAGAAACACTGGTCCTGACTGAAATGAGGGCAAAATACAAGGAAGAAGGAAAATGTTGACACTAGTGTACGTGTACCAACAGCAGCTGCAGCAGTAGCGCAGAGTGAGCGTTGTATAACTGGGTGAGCAGAGGTTGTATAACTGTGATGTCATCCTCGCTTCACTGACCTGCTGGCCCAATGACCTACTTTCTTCCTCCTCCTCCAATCTAACTTAATCACAGCTCCACAGGCAACACCTTCCTGCTCTTACTAATAACACTGCGCTCCCTGGCAACACAAATCCTTTAAAGCCACACATTTTACACAGATAGCACCTTCACAAAAGACGGCAGTATGGCATCCCACTGTCTGCATATCATATTTCCCTATTTATTCACATTATTTACAAAAGGCGTCCTGGTGTTCCCTGAGCCTCAGTGGGCACAGGTGTCGCGGGCACAGGCGTCAAGGAAACAGCGCCAGACATGTAAACAGCCAATTTTCATTTTAAAGCCAAACATAATGTCAACCGTACAAAGTGTCAACAGTACACAATGTCAACCATATAGACTAGCACAGACGTATTCAAATGAAAACAACTGACACAAGTGTTTTTCACCCTGACACACATCAAATCACAGACTGAAAACACTTTTTAATCATAATTTGCCTATTGTTTACACAGTATAGTTGAAGGTCTGTTGATATTGTGTGTGCACACATACTGAGATGTAAGGCAGCAGAGCTGTGAGGAAATGAGTCACTCTGAAGTGGATCTGTGGCGCTGCTCATCACGCACCCGGCTGCACCCCTCCACACCCGGTGCTGAGAAGCCAGCACAGCAACCGTGTTAATGGGCAACACCATGGCAACCAGCCTCACCGTGCGGAGCTAAAATAGCCTGGCTGAATTCCTCCACAGATCGTACTTCCTTCGTCATACACTGAGAACTATTAGACTAAAGTTTGAAGTCTGTGCATGTAAAACAATGGCACCTCTGCATCCTCGTCATGTAAACATTAATGTTTATTTTCTGATGGAGTGGCCTGCTTTCTGCATCAATTAGACAAAACCAATCCCTCCCATTGTTATTGTATTATGAAGCAGATTCTCAGGGAGTGTTTCTAGTATTGAATTAAGAGACACTGTTAACTGAGAGAGAGTACAGCAGAGCTAAAAAAAATATATATGTAGGCTCAGACATTCATTAAGGTGACATATAAAATGTACCCTGTGATGATAATCCAAATGTTTACCAAAGGACCAGTATTTAAGATCCACCAGCAGGTATACAACTATTCTCATACACCACACAGGACAGGATAATATCACTGCATATTAGAAAACCTGTTTAATGTTGGAAGGAACTACTTGTTCATGAGGCTGGACCAGCAGTTGTCAATACAGATGCAGGATAAAGCCTCAAACAGCTCTTTGAAATTCATCAGGATGCATCCCTTATAACCAATATGCTGCTATACCAAGCTTTTCTATTATGCTGAAGCTGTCTGGTAGGGCTTGTATCACATGGTTAGCTAAAGTGGTGTCATAGAAACCCTTGAGTTTCTTCATTATCTACGTCATAACCTGAAACCCGAGAGTAGGGGATTAGTGAACCTCTAAAAGATCCCAGGGTTGAACAAACATTCCTAAAAAGACAAGTAACTTCAGTCGGCCGTTTACAATTTAAAATCACTGGAACATTAGACATCAATACAGCCTCTTGCAAAACATACTTGGCACACAGGTGAAGGTCAAATCCTGCCCTAAGTGTTAGGAAATATCTATGATAATTATATTCAGAGCCCCAAGTGTGGGAAATATCGAGGATAATATTATTCAGATGTTTAACAGCCGGTAGGCGGAGGTCACACAAATCCACAAAAACACATGAATGAATAAATTACTCAGTCTCACATCCTGTCTGAAGCAGAATCTAGGCGTGCACATCCAGGCAGCATCTACAAAGAACATGAATATGATAGTGTTTAAAACCACATACTGCAAATTCAATCTAAATCTTCTGCATAACATCTACTAAATTAAAAATGAAACATGCCATTACTAGCCGACTAAAGTATAATCAAGCTAAATGTACATTCTGCATCACAAGACAATATTGATCATAATGTCATTTGTGCAAGAATAGTAAATAAACAATCCCTCTTTCACTCAATTTGATATGTTTCTGTATTATATGAAGGCAAATAGAAATGATTAAATATCTATGCGATTTCAAACACAGCCTATATATCAAATATTGTGTTTGCCTTTTTATATATTTTGTCACCTTTACTGTAACATTGAAGAACAAATAAAGGATTTTTGTTACAGGTTCAAAGGTAGAGAAATAGGCATAGAGGTTTCCTCGTGACTAGGATGTGAGATCGACCATGGATGGTTTTAATAATGTCATGGTCACTTGGCCTTTAAGTATTAAAACCCACAACAAGCTTGTCAACAGGGCCCACCACACACCGCACAGCGGTACCACCCAAACCCTCGACTGGAGGCAGCCAGCTGTGTTTCCTCTTAAAGCACACATCCACAGGCCCAGCAGCACAAAATGGTCTTTGTTTTGCTTTTTCACTCTGAAGCCCACAGACGGGAAAGTTTGAGGGGCTAGCAGCAGCGGTTAGCAGGGGACTGCTACTGGCCTCCTGTCCCAGAGGAGAAGAAAGTCGGTCAGGGGCCTCATACCGGTGCCAAGTAGGTCATTTGTGTTCAGAAGGAGTACTGGCGGCAAAATAGAAGCATCATGAAGGACTACAGACACACAGCCCTGTCAGACAGAGCCTATGTTCAAAATATATCACTGATATGTGACCACCAACACTGAATCTGGTATATTTAAATTATATTTATGCTAAACAGCTAGCCTTATATTAAGAATCAACATGTTGTCCCTACAATAAACAGTAAAGCAAGTATGAACCATTAGAAACCTTAATAACTAAGGCCTTAAAGGTAGGGTAGGTAAGTTTGAGAAGCCGGCTCAAGATACACTTTTTGTTATATTCCATGCTCTTAACATCCCGATAGCAATGAATATCTTAAGTGCTTTGACAAAAAATCCATTAAAAAATGTCATCTGTGGAAGCCGTAATACTGTAAACAGCACGACCAATCATTTTAGCCGGCCCGGCTAAAATAACTGGATGGCCTACCTGCCTGTCAGCCTTCCATCGGTGCACAAACTTATCTCGTGCCCCCATTGGTCATGTGCGCGTTCGTGTGTGTTGGAGGAGGGGCTCTATAAGGAAGTGGGCGATTTTCTCCGGTTGTGTATTTTGAAATTCTAGCGATCTCGAGACGGTTTCTCAAACTTACCTACCCTACCTTTAACTTGACTTTGCTTTATATGAGTAATGGCCTTGTAGTGTCTGGGAAGACTTTGCACAATATGTACTCTACAGATGAATGTGTCAAGGTTAGAATCACACTTTATTGACTGCAGCTCATCTCAGATAAAGAGAGCCCTTCCATACCATGCCACTGCACGATCCTAAATTAAACACCATTCATCATGCAGAAGTAGACAGCTGATCCAGGATCTGCCTCCTCAAAAGACCCATTCAAACATGCATTGTAGTACATATTTAAACTTGTGGTTATTATTGCTGAAACAATGAGACAGTATGTCAACTAATAAATCATCAATCAAGCAAAATGCACCATTCTAGTTTCTAATATGTTAGGACTTAGGAATAATGAAAATACTTGTTGGTTACAGCCATAGTTACAATAGTGTTTTAACCTTAAATTAAGAAATCATGCTACCTAATGTCCAGAATATTGTTTACACTTCTCAAGTATTATCAAATCAAAGCACACTCAAGACTTCAACTTCATCACGTTTTAAACTTTTCTGTGAAACATTTTAACCCATCATGAGCTGGTTCAGAAGCTTTCCTAGTTATATTTAAATAACCATGTTCAAGCTGCAAATATGACTTGTGTAGAGACACTTAAGGAGCTACATTTCCTATGTAAGAATGAAGTACAGTCTGCTGTCCATTTACACTTAAGACAAGATAAGAAAATAACTAAGCAGTAGGTTGCAGTTCACAAACATCCATTCAACCCTCATATCATATGCATCACTTGCACATTAAAATTCAATTTTCATTATATTTATGTGAAACATCGGTAGACTGAAGAACAAAAATAGAACATTACTGAATTGGTGTATAACGTCTCTCCAAAAGCTCTAGATAAGTATAATTATCCAAGTGTACAATCCCTTACCTTGTTTCCTTGAGTGGTGGTCAATTAAGGAACCGCTTCACCTCATGATGGATGAGTCAACTCTGAATTCTTCATCTGTTGAACGGAAAGAGAAAAGCTAGAATTGTTAAATAGTAACTAACGTGTGGCTTAAAGCGAAGAAACTCACATTTCTGAATCAGAACTGAAGCGTCTGGGTTACCATAAGCCTCGTACAGCACTGCAGAATAAGAGAACAGATCTAAACACATGCACTGTCAAACACACACCCACACACAGACTCACGCGACTCTTGGCAGTTCATTCATTAGCAACCCGAGCCCCCGGCCATCAGCTGGGAAGGACATTTACTTCCAGGAAGTGTAAACAAGCATTTGCTCCGAGAAGTGCATTAATGTGAGGTTACTTTGTGTCATTATTATTAAAGGGTTGCTTAGGTGTGAGTGTACATGTGAGTGAGTGTTTCAGCAAAGGCTTTGGAAATGTAATAACCCTTGTACTGATAAAGAATCCATGTAAAGAATTCTATCACACTACTGGAGTTAAGTCTCATCCAGTGATAATTTATTGGCCTCAAATAAAAAATAAAAACATTTATTGGTAGGATAACTATAATATTCTTATGACAAACCTCTTGAATGTATTGGTATCTTGATTTAGTTAAATGAGTAGTAAATACCAATCACAGGTTCATGAAATGGAGCCTTTAAACTAATGTTGTTGTACAGACTTACTTCCTATTGTGTTCATAGCATGTTATCTGTATATAAGTAAAGTTAAAAGAAATTGTCAATAAAAGGTTCCCTGAACTCAAAATGCATCAAATCTTTGATATGAGAGGCTGGATCTGGCAAACACATGTATGTTGTTATTGATCAAGGATTTAAACAGATAAAGAAATACAATTAAATAATTGAATAACAAGTATTGCTAAGTAAAAGTGTTGTTGGTTAATTTCCTGTTATATTATTATTTTTGTTATATGAATGTTTTCTAGTTGACCTCATTTATTTTGTAGGCCAAGCCACTTAATTGCAGTGACATCATTATGTTGTTTTAATGACAAACATCACATCATTTGGTAACAGTAACACAATCAGTTGCAGCTTCCAAAACAATAAATGAATTAGCTAATGCTTAATTTGAGTACTGAGGAGCTATCAATGATAGCAATGATGCTACAGATAAAACTGATGCAACTCTACTTTCATCCCTTTTTAGGGGAAACCCTATAGACTTGACCCAATTGTTCATCATCACAAAAGCAGATAGCGTTATTCTAAGACTTTGATTGCAAATCTACTGAATGTAGGTCAGCTTGTTCTCCATTTTTACAAGAAACAACAATACTTCTCACTGAGAGACTGTTTTTATTATCTATATTTAGGTGAGACATATTCTTTATCTTACTAACTTTATTTCTGTTTGCACATGATGGTGTTGGAACATTCATGATTTTGTATGTATGTATGTATGTGTGTGAGCTTTTCCAATATATTACCTAATCTTTGTCCATCATGAAGAGGGTTGGCCATGAGATCAGTAAATTAATAATGGGACATTATTTTGATGATTTGGTTGGTGATTCAGTGCATAAGGCCACACAAAGATATAACTGCTGAAGATCCTCTAAACTCTCAGAGAAAGGTCAATCTGACAGAAATAATCCTGTATGGATGGTAAAGGATTTCTCAGCTCATGTTCCTGTCAGTGGATGTCCTTTTTTTAAAGCTTGCAGAAGCCAAACAGTAAAGTGAAACCAGCTTTCATTATTAATCTCATTTGACTGTATTTATTGACAAAATGTACTCTCTTTGCTGCTTTGTCTTCATAAGAACCAAGGAACAAACTACAGGTTAGCATTTCATAGAAGTACAAGTTATGGTAATTCATTTACAAATCTGCCAATATAACTTGTGGACAATAAATGAAGGATAATTATTGTAATACTGTAACTCAATAACCTTATGCCATTAAACTATATTGGAAAAAAACACGTAAATAAACACATTTAAGGGTCATACAGCTGCCTTGGGTGGGAACATAAATATAGAAAGCTGACAACATATTCCTTCATAACAAGAATAAATGGTCAGTGTAATGTCAGTTGGTCTGGAAGTGAGTGACATGTCAAGTCTGTTAACAAATCAGCTCTGTGTTGATTTGATGGGTTACTACAGGCGTTTTGGGCATAAGTATGTTGTATTTCAATAGATCCTTTTAAATTTAGCAACAACAAAAAAGTGAGCCATAAGTATGAACTAGATGTCTGCTAAGGCCAGATTCAGATGGTCTCACGACAAACACATTTTCCTTTCAAAAGGCAATATATCTCTCAATTACTGTGTGAAGCAGACTGAATATTGCCAGCAGGAGATTAGTATGTAGCCACAACAACAGGGCTCCAGTGGTGAAGGGGGCATGTTTGATTGTTGCCATGACACAGTCACATGCCGTCTATTAAATCTGCATATAATAAGAGGAAGAAAATGCTAAATGTAGTTAATCTGATAGTCATATTTAACAAAAAGTACTTGGAAAAGGATGTTTTGACCTTATATGACTTTAATATTACATTATAAGGTGAAGGCAGAAATACAGGCTCTCACTGTTGAGAAAGGACCAACTTATGAACATATTCTGCATTCAATAACGACCTCATGTGTGTGACGCATCATAAGCTTATTTTAAGCATGACGATAAGTAACAGGGATTTAACTGCAAAAGAGTCCAGATGACTTCAGAGTCAGGGTCACGTCTGGCAAAGCACAGAGTCCTTAACCTCATGATAGCCGGCCTTTGCAGACTGTAGCTACAAATCCTGTAGTTTATATTAGAAAACAGGATTTCAAGGGTTATAAAGCGTGATAGCCTTCTGCTTGTAAATCTGGAATTTGAATTGTGGATGTTGCAGCACATGAAACGATTTAAAACGGCTGCCAATTGCCAATCTTCAGCATTCATAAACAGGTCTCTAAGCTGACTAGAAATTGTTATTGTATAGACAGACAGTCTATATGTATAGTATGGGCTGATTGTTATTCGGTAATCTGCATATTATTTTCTAGCAAGCTACAATGAAACAGTTAGTGGTAACAGTCTGCCAAACACTTTCTTCTCCTGACCTGCAGCCAGCCCCAGTGCCAGGCTGCCAGCTACATAAAAAGGTGTCAAGCTATTTCTACATGAGCAGTGAGCACTATTAGCAACAACAACTCTGAGCAATAATAAGGTATCACCAAATAAAAAATGCCTGCAAGGTATTATTATGACCACTTTGAAAGAATGAGGTATAATAGTCATAACATACTTAACAATTATTTCCCAAATAGACCTACACACTTTTAGCTTAAAACTTCCACTGGGTTCGTAAGTGTCTACGAGAATAGTTTGCCATGACGACAAACAGACTCACAACAAGCTGTAACAACAGTGTTGCTGTGGATATAGCTTAATTGAAACCTTCATTCAAATATCATTGCATAATGTAATGTCCCACATCACACACTGACTCCAAACTAATGTGTACATGAGAAATGGCTGCATAAAGTGGACTTCAAGTGCAGCTATCATTCAAGCTATTTTCTAATGTGTAAAAGTGTCAGAAGAAACTTTTCCCTAGTACTTGCTTTAATGTACCCATAGAGAGCAATACAGTTGATGTCTTGAGTAAATTATAAAAACATAATTAATTTGACACAAAACTAGACATTCAACATCTCAAGTTTCAATAAATGACTGTGACAAATAATTGAAAATAAACAAAATATTGTCCTGTACACCTATTTTACTGACAATTTGGGGAAACAAGAAGCAGCCATTATTTTCATACACAAGAGGCTGCAGGTTTAGAAATAAAACCAATAAATCAGGCTGTATAACCATCTATTTCCTGTCATGTTCACAGGTATGATCCAGGAACAATTCAGCTCACTGCCTGACATCTGACATGTAGATCAGCGACTGAGCGGATTTAGTGACATTGTGATCGATTTCATGTCTGTTGAATGGGAAGCAGCAGAATAGATCCATGCGAAACCAGACTTGGTTTGAGAGAAACGCAGCTGCCACAGAGTTTGTAATTAACACCGGGGGGAAAACGTTAAAAAAATGCATTAGATGTGGAAAATACTTTGCCGGTGAGAGTGAACGGTTTTCCAGTATGTAAAGTCACCTGAACTAAAGCCAGCCTTGAAGTGACAGATTGGGTTCAGCACGTCTACCACCCCGCTGCTGCCAGGTAACACCGGTCGGTAAACCGGGCAGTGATTGCTAGAAAGCTAACTCCGCCTAGCATTCTGACTTACGTTTATTACAGAAACATAACAACAGCTTAATACATTTGAAAAAACTTACTGCGTGACACATTGGATAGCCGCAGTTTTTCTTCGTTTTCAGGTGTAACGTAGCGGGCTTTCAACTCGGCTGCAACAACATACTCTACCCACTTTTAGCTGGAGCTCGCTAGCTAACATGCAACGTTAGATAATAATGTGGGTCACCGGGCCACTGGCCAGACTCTGTCACTAAACACACACACACGCAAAGCTGTTCCCTGTGGCAGCTGTTGTGTGTCCACAATAGGCCTACACAGATTGGCTGCAGATATGAAATATTTAAAAATACGCAGCGGAGTTCGCCGGTAGAGATGTCACACTTACCCCGAACAGTCTCCCCCCTTCATCGGGATATCCCTGCACCCAGTGGCGCTGACGGCTGACTGTGCAGGGCAGGCGCACCGGGCTTGAGCTGGAGCCAAAAGGGCCGACCTACGGTCCACACTCTCCCAGAATCACACATCACATGCCCGGTTAGAGAGAGCTGGGTGACAGGTTACATTACCTGGATTGGACTCCGCGACCTTTTAAGTGTAGTCTGTTTTTATTTTATATTATAGTAAAGCTTAAATGTGTTTCATCAAATTGAGCCACTTGTGGAAAGGAAAATGTATTGATACCCCTTCCCCCTTATTCAGGTCTGTAATTATACATGATAACTTGATTCTTCAATTTTACATTACAATGCTATAAAATGTGTGTGATTTGTAGGCCATGATTATGTTTTGAAATGCAATTCTGATTTTGTTGAAAAAGTGTTAAAAATAGACTATTTCAAGTTATTCTAAGGAACAGACATGAGGGGGTTTCTCTCGGTTATAAACTTGGGCCCTCAGCTGAAAAACAATTGAAAACTCTAGTTTTCTTTTAAAATGTAATTTCACACTTTTTATAATTAAAACGATTGTGAAATACCACATCTACTTTCTAAATCCCTTTGAAAACATTTGTATGATGCTTGTCATACCATAGTATGCCTCGGCCCGCGGCAGATAATTGGATGGCCTACCAGTGTGTTGGAGGAGGGGCTCTGTAAGGAAGTCTGAAGGAAGGGGCAGATTTGTTTCGGTTGTGTACTTTCAAATTCTAGTTCACTCGAGCTGGTTTTCTCCATTTGGGATTTTTGCATAAAGTTATGTTTTTTTTATGTATTTATTGGTGGTTTGTTTTCTGTTAGCCTTTTCAATGGTCATTCAGAATAGCTAAAGGCTGTGTGTTTGTCCTCTCTGCTGTGTTCTGTGGATTGTGGATCTGTGGAGTGTCTGTGGATTAACCATCAGATTGTTTTTGTATTTTCCTCATCTCCAGCGTGGTGCTCATCACCATAGCAACAGCATAAGTAGCTAAAACTGCAGTACTATTTATTGACGACATGGATGCAGGGAGAGATTAAAAGGCTGAAATTGTTTTTGCAGTGAATGGAAAAAGTGGCACATACAATGCAAATGTAATGCCCTTATCTGTTACAAAGTATACTATTGTTGAGTTTTCAGTTCATCCTTTCCAGATCTGACCCCAGGTTTTTCTTAGCACCTTTGTGTAGGCCTATGTGGTGTTAAATTATTTGTATGCATCTAGTTTTACTCCTGCTGCAAGCCTCTTTTTACAATTGCAGCTAATTATTAAAGGTACTTTTGGGGCAGCAAAACACACTTTTTTACTTTTGTTAATCAATCAAAACGGTATGTTGTTAAATATAAAGCCCTCAAATAATGATACGATTGTATAGTGTTTTTATAGTGATCTTATCACCCTGTAAGGATACCAAATTGACAGACATATTTTTCTATTACCCAGTTGTAACACTATATGTTTCAGTCAACAATCTTAACGTTGTTTTCAGGTGATATAAGGCCCTCAAAGGAATTTAAATGTAGGGCTACTCTGAAAACTCTTATAGGCATTGTTATTTGTGGCAAAACCAAAATGTATGGCTGGAAATGCAATAACTCCACCTAGAGGAGAGATTGAGAAACAGCTAAATAAAAAAATGTGTCTGTTCTGTAAAATGTTCATATGCAGTGTGGTGTTTGGTTTACTGTTTAAATATTGTATTTAACCGATCACTTGAGAAATCTACTTTTGCCTCAGCATGACCTCAACAAATCCACACCCTTTGGGCTTCATCTTCTTATCATGCCTGTTAATGTGATACATTATCTAAAGGGATAATGAAAATATATGAAATCTATCAAGATGGAAAATACAACTGTTCATACATGTGAAGTGTGTCCTATAATGTCAATATGACTGAACCTGCGTTGGATTTTAATTCTTAAAAAAAAGTGTATCTACTGTTAATTAAATTAATTACATATTCGGGGTAGAAAATAACAAATATAAAAAGGTTCATTTCCTTTTTGCAAGGAGAAGGAAACAAAAAGAAAATGCATTTGTAAATATGTGTGATTGGTCATTAAGGCTCTTCGTTTTCGTATTACGTCTCATTTAAAACAGTGTCAAATAATATGATATTCCAAATAGTTCTTATATTCTTGCTTACATTTATTTATTATGAAGGACACAAGTGCGACACAAAAAAAGGAATAAAAAAGGTGGTGTTTTTATTTTATATTGATTATGATCATTAAAACATGTGTTCATAAAATAACTGTTTTTATTACTTCAGAGTAAATATAACATGTAATTTAAAAAAAATGCTTTATTTTTCTTTGCAATATTCCCGATGTGTGTTTATTTGACAATATGCAAGCGTTTATGCATGTATCTTAATGTATGCAAAGGCTACAGTTCCTGTTGAACCAATGCAGTGAAACATTCATATTCATAATGTGTAACAGACATGGTACACAACAACACCTGACATTATAGCAGTTTTCATGCAAATGACACATGAAACACAACAAATTATCTGGACAAATGAATAGTATTTTATTCATTTTCTTGGTGTACATTTAAACATCACTATACATCAGTGGCGGATGGCTGTGGGTAAGGTCTGGATCTCTCAGTCATGGTGCAGCAGCTCGGGTATCAGGTTTGTTGTCTCTGTACATTATGCTTCAGACTTTAACACACATTAACACACATGGTTAGATTACAAGAATAAACACACTTCCCTAATATTTTAGTCACATCATTTAATAGTTAGCAGTCTCTATGTATATATCGGATCACTACTGCCATTGAGATAAAAACAGGATATCGATGGCATTAAGGGATTGTCTGAAAATTACTGGGTGGTTAGGGGGCAGAAACTTAGTGTTTTAAAAAAAAAAGATCCACCCTAACATTATTATTTTCTTTCCTTTCTTAAAATTGACAGGCTGTTCTAGAGGATTTGTTTAATCATGAAAACAATTAAAGATCAATGTGTATGCCATCTTTTATTAAAACTGGGACAGTAGCTACTTTATATTAGCTACTAGTTGATGATGGGAGTGAGTTCAACTGGATACTGCAGTGCTGTCCTTTGCATAGACTCAATCACACATGGAAGTTATCTGTTTTAAACTATGTCATTTTCAAGCTTATTTATTTTAAGTGATCAAATGTCATTGTAACATGTATATTTCAGTCAAAAACTATGTATTACCTTTAATTTTACTCATACTCCAATGATCGTCTTCCATTTCGTGGCTGGAAATGAATAACAACATTTGTATTGAATTTCATCATATTATCCTTTGGGAATTCGTTTTTTTTTATTTATCTCCTGACATTAACAAGTTCATACCCGATAGAGAAAGTAACCTCTGCTCTGGATTCCTCCAGGTCCCTGGACTTCACCCTGTATAGACACAAAACCCAAATAATTGAACTGGAATTAGTTCAACTTTAGTTTCAACTTTTTTTCCGCATTACCTCAAATGTTCTCCCTACAATGTAAAAATTACACATAAAACACTCACATTCAAAACAAACACTGTCCACGTTTCTCACTCACATTTCCTGTGTGTCCAATTGGTGAATGTCAGCGCTTGATAGTAATGAGGAATAAGTTCTCCTGTTAGATGCACTAATTTTAGACCATAATTGCTCGCAGCTTGGGAAAGAACAACTAATGTAGACTGTGGTTGTACAGAGGGTGAGTAGAGCTGCCCGCCATAACAAAGCATTCTTGACTTGTAAGCAGGAAGGGGAAAACATGTAGCAAACACACTTCAATGGCAATATTTGCTATAAACAAGAACAATGCAGTTCCAATGTGGATGTTACAATTTTATCATTTCTATTGATCTGATCTCTCTGTATTTTCAACCAAGGAACCTATTAAGAGGTCTGAATCAAACCAGAAATTGTAAGGGACAGCCCTATTTGCATAACATTTTTTTGTGTGCTAATCAGTGACTTCATTTGAAAAGCAACAAAACGAGTAATGGAAAGTGAACTGACGTAGGTGGTACATACGCGCATTGAGAGTCCTCTCTCTCTTCTGGTATGGAGTTGAGAAACTAGACGCAGGAGAGGGTGCAACACAGGGGTCTGACAAACACACAAACACAGATAGAGCCAGACAGCTCTGTATGGAGTCGACAGGGGCTAAGAGATGATCTCTGTTTCATCTCCAGTAAACACAGGAAAACATGCAACTCAAAAGTGCAAAAATACAAAATGCTTTTCCAAAATGCTTTTCCTCAGCATCACATTCTGCATTATTCGCAAACCAGCCATGGAGCAGCATTGACTAAATGGATTCATATTTCATTTAAGAAATATGGTTTGTGGCAAGTCAATGTGGATCCTGGGGTGTTTTTTATCTAGATGCACATAAAGAAAAATGAAAACAATGCATGTAATCCAAAAATGTTTAACCATTTCTATGCATAATCTTTGCTTTCACTACACAAACTGACCTCTTTTTTTTTAGATTCTACTGACAAATAAAAATATCAAGAAGGATACTTTCTAATTGTCAAAATGTACATAATATATCTAATTACCTTAATCGTTAGGGAACTTAAATACTTATTCTGAAAGTAAACAACTGCTACCACATTTTGAAGTGTTGATATTATGTTTCTGCTATGTTCCTTTGTTTCTTGATTGACATTTCTGTTGTCCAGTGTGAACAGCCAGAGGTATACAGACCTTATTTAACTAAACATGCAGTCTGACATGCAGAGCACAGATCACGTGAGCACATTTTCGTTTATTAGCTGGGGACAGTTTATGTGGGGATATCCATGTTGCAGTATTTGTCTGCATGCATTGGTGCTTTAGAGGTAAATGTTTACCTCCATCATGCAATGTGATTTGTGGAATGGCGTGCTCATGTCTTACAATAGCTCTGCGCTACATGTGGGTATTTGAAAAGTACTTAGCACACAAAAAATGCAGGAAATATATTTGTAAAACAATCTGAGGCACTTTCCTAAGTCAGGCAACATACTGTGACGGTGGGGATTTGTCTCTTAACTTACTTACCGCGCCCTCTGACAAGGCAGGGCCATGTTTTCTAGAGTAATGAAATAAAAACTGCACATACAGTGCATGACATGAAACACAAACAAGCCGACACATTTTTCAGGGTTTCATTTTATTGCTTTGTTGTTCTTGTCTAACCATTTTAAGTGAAAATAATAAGAGATCAAATATAGGTTTACATACCCTTTTACTTTTTTCTTGCACTTTCATCTCCTGAAAAGACACAAAATGTGTATTTTAGTTGATGTAAATCATTGCGCTGTAGTATCTTTAGTCAAATACTATGGACTATCACTGTTTCAATGTGCCATTTTGTATTGATTTAAAAAAAATATATATATATATATAATAATTTTTGCAAGTATAATGACATACTGTCCCTATTAAAAGATAATCAAGTATTGAATACCTTTGACTTCCGAAACAGCATCAAGACACAGAGTTCTTCTAAGACATCAGATGCCTGATTTCAGAAAGACAAAATGGCCGTTAGAAAATGTTTAAATAAGTACTTTAACCTTGTAATATACATGTACAAAATAAGAAAAGAATAAGAAAAACAGAATCACCCAAATCTTCATGTCTGCAGAGAGGTAGGATGAGCACGCAGCGTCTATCTGTGGAGCATCACAGAGGATGATGGACAGGCTCGCAGACAGCAAGGATAAAGAAGGAAGAGAGAATAAAATGACGCTGCGTACCTGGCTGAGTAGCTGCCTCTGATCTTTTATGGCTTGCTGAAGTTCTGCTGGAGCACCTTCAGTTTTTTTTTGACACAAAAATACACAGTTATTATTATACAGCTAAAACTTCTATGTATATGATCCTTACACAATACAGTACATTTACATCTGAAGGTAACAGAGATGCTATACAGCCGAAGCTTTGCTGGAATGATCAACAGAATCTCTTGTATCATTTTCTGCTTTGACATGATTGCATGATTGCAGTGGATGTCACATTAGCAGCGGTAAAAGCGTTACTGTAGAATATGCAAGGGAGTTAAAGTCAAACATGTTGATGTAAGAAGATAAGTCAACAGCATCACTGCGCCAAAACTGATGTTGAATCTAAAAAGCTCATATTTGTATTTATGCAACTTTGACATCATGAAGTCACTGTTAAAGCCCATCTAAATTAGATCTGCAACAAATAGTCTACTCATGGATTTAAATAGAAAAATAATGTCTACAAATATTTATATACTGTATTAGTTATTTTTCATGCCAAAAATCCACAAAACAGCCTCCATTGTATATTATATAAAAATATATATATTTGGGTTCTGGACAAACAACAACAGCAATGGTTTATTGACCAAAACAGCTTTTGAAAAACAGGTATTTTCTCTAGAAATAAATCAACATAATAAAAACACATTATTACATATTGTTAACCATATAATTAGATTATTTAGTAACTAAAATGTTATTACTTATTTGATTTATTTCTGTAGTTGTGGTTTTCCAAAATTCCAAACTTACATTTGAGAAGAATAGGAAAATTAATAGATAGATAGATAGATAGATAGATAGATAGATAGATAGATAGATAGATAGATAGATAGATAGATAGATAGATAGATAGATAGATAGATAGATAGATAGATAGATACATAGATAGATAGATAGATAGATAGATAGATACAAAATGACTTACACGTGCACACTGGGATGGTGAGTATGAGCAGGGCAGTGAGCGTGCCGCTGGCCGTGCTGCTGACGCTGCTCGGGCTGCTGGAGGCAGAGCTCCGGCTCTGGCTATGGAAGGTCCTCATCTCCCTCTTCCTCTCTCTCTCTCGCTCTCTGTGGCCTTTGTTGTCTGTTTTTCTGGTTGTGTGCGCTTGACTTCTTGCTCTTCTGAGAGTTTCTATCTCACGTCAGAGAAATATGAAGGCTTGGGTCACACACACCCCTCACGTGCTGACTCTTGGCTGCGTCATTAAAGCCCCCTCGCGCGTAAAAAGTTTTGAGATTTGATCAACAGGTTGGCTGAACGTAAAATCTTCAGGGAGCTGTGAGCGATGATGAAGAGATAGAACATTCAGAGTAAGGTAACTTGGGACCATAAAAAAGGATCAAGCAAATACATATATTAATAATGCTAGATAAACATCCTCATGGAACATGCTTATACTGTTGTTTATATCTTCACATTAGCTTTGTTCACATTTGCTTACACTACTTTTGATTTATGTTAACTTACATATAGCTATAAATGCAATGTGTGGTATTGAACGGTATGTTTGTTATGCTTGTTCCTTGTTATTAGGACTACCTGTGTTTACACCTTATGTTCACTTTTTCATTGTTTAGCTTTGATGATCAAGAAACACAATTTCATTATATAAAATATGAATTAAATCTATTACATACTTCCTTTTGTGATGGTTACGCTGTGGTTGAACCTGGGAGAGATGTTCATACAATACTGTGTTGCTGTGGTTTGTTTTGTTGCATTGCATTGTATTTTAAGTGTATGGATGTTATTTGAGGCTATTTCCCCAATTTCATGTCAGAAAAGCAGCTATACATGCTATACTTATCTTGAAGGGCAATTTTGGCTCTGATTCATCCTGAAGCCCTATTTTTCTGATTAAGTTGTAATGGTAAAGAGCGGGGCAACAATCATACCTGTAAGATGTCCTGCTGTCATTTATACTGTTACTGTGAGCTGAGTGCAGGAAACGTGTGGGAAATCACAAAGGTAGATGTGCAACGATATGGTTATTGTCATATTAAGGACAATAATTATTCTTAATTTATACCAAAGCCATTTGAGCCACATTATAATGATCAAGGTGAAATGCAAATCTTTTAGAAACTCACACTTGGATTCTTCAAATTCAGATTCAATTTCAAAATAATATAAAAAATACTTCATCAATATGCTGTCATCCACCATGGTGGCCTAATTGTAGCACGCATAAGAAAATGAAGACAATAATGGATGTATGATGTTTCTGATTAACAGCCATGATGTATTTACCTTTACCAAACCAGGAGATTACATGTAAAAAGGGAAACCTAAATGTGTCTTTTCATTTTAATCATGCTCTTACTTTAGAAAAAAAAATGGTTCCAACTTTCAAAGCTTTGGATATTACAGTTCATGAAAATTACGTGAATGTACTGATTATTTTTTCATGAAATGTGACTTTAATTTCAACTTTTGTCCATGCATTCAGACTATAATGTCAATTTAAATCACCCTCCTTATTTGAGACACTCATTAGGGATAATTATTTAACTACATTTGCTCATAAAAGTCAGGTAATGTGTTGGTCTTTGTGTGAAGCTGCTTGTGTGAGGGTTTAGATATTACTAGGCACTATAATTCATTTAGATCTGTTACAATAAACCAGAAGACATAATACTATAATAACCCCTGATGCTTTATTCAGCTAAAGATTTACCGGAAAAATATGTGACGCATTGCATTGTGGTCCTGGAAAGGCATATTTTGTTGCTTATGCACAAATAAAACGTGTTTAAAAAGATAATTTAATATCTTGATTTATATTCTTTATTATCTGCAATGAAAGCAAAAACATCCTATTCTATTACTGCACATATGACAGATTTTAAATAGTTTTTGTGAAAAAAAACTTTAATAAATAACAGTCTTGCTTTGTCTTTGGAATTCTGATATTACTTTGTTTTAGATCATGAGCAACACAAGTGGACCGCATTGATAATCAATCAATTCATGGGAGTCATCACACCCATCCCCACCCATGTCATCCTCCTACACTAATCTCTCTATCCTCTATAATTTCCCACTTTTCTTTATTATTATGAATGAAGGCTCAACAGTGGAGATCAGGCAATAAGCAAGAGGAACGCAAGATAGCCTATTGTTTTTGCAGTTTAGTCTAATTGTTAAGGCCTTTTGAGGTGTTGATATCAGTGATACATAACAAATGTAAACAAGACTGATGACTGATCGAAACGGTCACAATAATCTATGATAGTTAGTTACTTAAACTGTGAGATATGAAACAAAAGTATTTCCTTGTGCGACTGCTCACACGTGCACTGGCATTATCTCAACTCCCAAAGGAAGCATTGAATAGATAATGGAACGCCCTTAAACATCCGTTAACATGAATCTACGAATGGCAGCTTCCCTCATTAGACCTGTCAATGAGAAAAACTGCAAAAACAAGCAATTACACAAATTGTGTTGCATTATCAATGTTCTCCAACAGCAGCAACAGCACAGTCACTAGCATTATGCATGGCTGTGGCTATTTGTAGCTCAAATACCTTTAATTCATCACATGTAGGCCTACATCTAAACCATCATCCAGGAGATAACTCATTCATTATATGTAAGATGTAGCACTCAAGTTGTAACAGATTTTACAGAATGCTTCACAATCCAAGTGTTGGAGATGCTGTAGCCTTTGCTTGGATTCTGTGTGTGGCCCTACGTATCATTTACACATGTAGTGACTGATGTTTTTCTTGTCTCCTAAAAGCTCTAGAGAAAGCTCCCCTTGGTCCAACATTATTTAGAAATACTGAAATGTCGTGCCCTTTGAAGAGTTTTCTTTTAATATGAGCCTGACTTGCATTTGCATGCACTACTTTAATTGGTTTGTTTGAGGGGAAGCCCAAAGGCATTGAGGGAAGGTTACTGTCATGATTCACACTCTGTCGCACCTTGATGCAACAACACAGATTAAAGTCTTTGTTGTGTTTTAATTTGAGGATATTTTCAAAATCAATTAATATAAGGCTTTGATTTATTTTGCGGTTTGGCAGCCTGGCTCTGTCCAAAGGTAACATTACCACACATTTTGATTGATTAATCTATTAAAAAATGTTACTGTAAAAATGGGAATTCCTAGTTTACACCGGGCTTGCTGTTTACTGTTTCAAGAAATTGTGCTAAGCTAGGTTAACCTAATGCTAGCAGTTTAAATGACAGATGTGATGGTAATTTCGAAATTCTCATCAAACTCACCTCAGAAGAGGTCAAAGGTCACACTTTTGCTTGAAAAACTTGGCCCAGTGTTGTAAATTACAGAAATGTTTATCTGCAAGCTTTGACTGATGTTCATGTTTGGAAACCAAAGGAACATTAGCATGGAGAGTAATCTATTACAATGTCACCTCCATCCTACAGCAAAGACCATTAGTTAACCTTATAAAACATGACAGGACTCTGATTTGATTGTTTTTCCACATTGTAGAAATCATGAAAACCAATTGTTGTGCATTTGGCTCATATGGCCACATCCTACATCCATTTCTTAATTATGTTTCCATCTTGTGCATGAAATAAAGGATGCAAACCAGAACTTGAAAGTATAATATTCACTGTTAATAATAAGGAATCACGCAATAACTTCAATCGTGAAGCTATTGGGTAAAATAAACCTAAATGAGATCACTGTTGTGAATCTGATCACTTTGGAATCTGCTTAAAATCTCTAGATAATAACATGTTACTCATGCAGATTGTAACAGGAATCCACTTTGAATTATATTACGTGAGTAATTGTGCAATTTTGACATATGATGTTTCACTGTAAGTATCATTGTATTATAACTATACAATATAATATTAGATTATATCCCAGCACATTTACAATTTCCTGTGAATGCGGACTCTTGCTAAATGTAGGCAAGCATGCAGTAAGAAAACCTCTTTCTCTTATGAATACTGTATGAAATGAACATGTTTAACAAAGATCCTTTCATCCCACCTGCAGTTTTTTTTACAATAAACTATTTATTAAATTGTCATAAAATAATGCCTCATGGTGAACCAGGAACATTTAGTCATCTCTGAGGGTCTGAAGCCTGTTTACCCAGCTGGTTATCCAATTTTACGGAGCAAGTTTTCACACAGTAAAATGTTTTAATTGAATCCATACTGAAAAAGTGATGAAGAGCCCTTTCCCCTACATTATGGAATGGAGATAAATATGATAAGTGAACGCTTTTGCTAATGTCAACTGAATCCATGAGCAGCAACGGCAGTTAAAGTTTATATCTCAGCTAATTTCAAGTAATTTCTCTTTTTTAATTTGACTTCATCAACATTTGCAAATCATTTTGGTCATCATTCATTAATAATTGTCATCTGTCTTTATTTCCAGCCCTCACCCTAACCCTTACCTACCCCTACCCCTACTAAAAACAGACAGGAAAGCACTCCTGCAAGAGCACACATGTACATACATGCGCACACTTCAAATGACATGATTACTTTAAAACAAAATCGCACACATGATCGACCCTCCTAACAAGCAAAGAGCTTTACACTCAGCGCTGCTTGTGTAATAGCAGCTTTCATGCTTACTTCAGTTTGGATAGCTGGTGTGTTGTTCTTTGTGTGTAATTTGGCAGTAATGGAAGGCCTTACCTTGGGATGAGGTCACCAAAGTGAGTCGAGCGTCCACATAAAGTTTTCACCCAGCTGCCCACAGCTGTGTTTGTGTTTGCTTGTATTGATGCTGTCAGGCATGACTATAATGTACTGTACCACTGAGGAAGACACGTCATAAGAGTCAACAGGAAATTCCATAACAGTGGCAGAAAGACAATAAAGTCAATTACTTTGTGAAGAGGCTTTGTGTTTACTGTTGGCTGTTTGAAAGGCTCCAAACAGCAAAAGGGATGACCTCACTATGAGTCAAAGATGCTACAGTGCTTTATCAAGTCAGCCTGTACATATGCAGATGTATTAATTCCTGTGTTTATTTTTGCCATGCTGACATTGCAACAAATATGATTCTAAAACAACACCGATGATGCCTTCTTAAAGGGCTGCCATAAATGCCATCTAGATATCAACTCAAATGTTTCTAA